TTGGTAATAACGAAAATATTTTTCTTCTTTTAAGACCCAACCACGTGGATCTCCCCTATTATAAGCTGGAAAATCAATTTTTGTAAAAGTCATGTTATGTTGAAATCTCCATGAACTATCCCTTTCATCGTTTTTCCCAGAACTGTTGTATGATTTCCCTCGTGGTGTGTGGACTTGATTTTTGAGGGCTGCAATATCTTCTTTGAGTGTTTCTATGGATTCCAACCGAGCAGAGATCTCAACCAATTAAGATGCAATTGGATCGACATCTCCTTTATTTGTCGAACCCCGGGTGTTAGGTGCCATTCGAGTTTCCCGATAATGGAAACAATGATAAAATCTGAATAATTAGCAGATAAATAGCACTTGAATTAAAAAGATAGGGCCCAATTCGAGAGGGGCTTAGTCTCCAATTACATAACTAAGTCTGAAGATGATCTAAAACAGAATGAATGAAAACCAAATTACGAGGCCTGCTGAGTCTCATAGCTAAACACAATTAATTAACTGATCCTAAAAAGTTGCTAAAAAACTGGTTGTCCACTACTTCTGTTTTCCCGCCAGAGAATGGTCAAATAAATAAGCTAAGAATGAATTAAATTGGTTCTTTTCGGCTGAAGCTTTGACCTAGTTCTTTCTTCGTGAGTAGACCTGTAATGAGGTTTCATCAGAACACTTTGAAAATATAATATTTCGTAAATGCATTCTTCCAATAGTAAGACTCTTAGGTGTAGGTCACACCCATACCTATACCACATCATCATCTTCTTTCTATTTATTTACATCACATTTTTTGGGGTGGTCTTCTAATCCTTTAACGTAATTGTGAGGCCAAGAAAGAAGAATCACAGAGGAAGGAAGAAAGAAAAAACGGGTGTTCCCTTCGTTACCACGCTTGCCTTATACTTTAACGGGAGTTAGGGATGATGTTCCCGATGTTGTGGAGGTGCCAAATAGGTATAATGGGCTTTGCTATTGCCCACACCGTATAGTATAACATCCGAAATATTACCCTCAAAATTTTACCATATTTTCCAAATTTATGGAAATGTGTTTGTAATTTTTGAAAATTGTGGTTATCAAGTAAGATGAGTTTTTTTTATATGGTAAATGGGGTAGATATCAAATATACATAACATAAATTTAAAATAAAAATAATTTTATTATAAAAAAATAATGACATAAATGTAAATTAAAAACAATTTTATTATAAAAAACCGACACAAACGATACTACATTAAAGTTTGCAAAGAAAATGGCCGAAGTGTTTGCCAACTTGGGGCACCCCCTTGGCCCCTTCGGATGTCAATTTAAACCTATATCTCAACTTTCTCTCTCCAACCTCACCACCTTAACTTTGTAATCCAATTACATTAAAACCCAGTTTTCTCTTTGGTTTGTTCGCTTCTTCTTTCCTTTCGTCACCTTGACAATCACAGGTAACAAAACTCACCCCACCCTCTTACTCTTTACTCTGCAATGGCTTCTTTTGTCGCTCCTATACAACTCTGTTTTACCTTATTCGCCGCAAGGGTTTCTTCATAATTGTTCTTTTATCCTAAATGCATTCGTTAACAGATGCTGTGATTATGTATTTGGAAGTTCTTTTTCTTTTTATCGTGTTGTTATGTGGGGTTTGCTTGATCTATTGGTAACTAAAGGGTAAAAGATTGGTTTCTTGTATTACCCCGGCTTTCTTCCATGAAAGGTGGTAGGTTGGTGGCAGGGTTGACTTACTTTTCGAACACAATTTGGGTTTTTCTTTACTTGTAGCTCTTCTAGTTTATCTGATTGACATCTCATCTGGATTTGATAGTGTATTTGGCTTTAGTTATTGGTTCATTCAAGTTCAGAAATCCTCCCATTCTTTTCCATTTGGGTGTTTGAAACTTATAATTATGAACAGATGTAGAGATTCAGCCACATTTCCTGTTATGATCTTGTAATTATTTTGGGGGTTTTGTTTCTCTTTAATCTTGATTAGGGATAAATCATTCATAAAATATCAGATGATTATTGGGTTGACTTTGAATATTCTTCCTCTATGGGTCTTTTTTATTTCATTAGATAACAGCCATTCACTCCTGTGCATCTATTATGTGTATATATGCTTATCTTCTTGTTTTTTTGGATGATTGTAGGATCATCTAAAGACACTATGGTGAGCATCCGTAGACAAAGACTCATCAAACTCTATGGTAAGACCATGTTTTTAAAAAAAAAAAAATACTGTGTTGATAAATGATAATTAAAAAATCTGAAAAAGAATAAAAGAGGGTAAATTTGTAAAGAGTTATAAGGGAAGCATTGTTTCCATATTAAGTCGGTTTTTCTAGATTAAGTAAAAAAGCAATATGCATATATATACTTTTACCAGATTAAGGTTATGTTTCTTGTTTCCCCCCATTAAATCCAATATGGATAAAGTGGTAGAACGCGTGGTGTACATAAAGTTTGTTTTTTATTTTTCTTTGAACTGAATGACACACTAAATGACCATTTTACCCTTACACCGGATATTTAGTTACATCATATATCGGTTTTCTTGTTTGTTCTTTTGTTTATTGATGATAGTGAATGGTAAATTTTAGGGAGAACCCCTTTTCTTGATTTTCTTTCATCATATGGAAACGGGAAATCTCCTGGATGTTGGGTGCAAAACACAAGATCTGCTGGCATGCATCTTTCACCTTTGGTTGACCTTGAGGTAAGCATGGAAATCATGGTTAAATCTTTATATTGGAATCCTTTTGAGGAGTGATGGAATATTTTTATTTTCCATTTCTTATTTGCCACTTGTTATTGAACAAGATTCACATTCTGCATGTGTTTAGCAGAAAAACACAAAATCCGAAGAACCTGAATCCTCAATTGTGAATGAATCTAGCTCATCTTATAAGCAGCCCGTTTCTCATCCAGGTTAATTTGTTTACTTATTTACATCATCTTTTCTTATTTTGTTGAATGCAATGCACATAGTATAATCATATCATGTGTAACAAAATCTTTTTTGTTATATATTCCCAGAGTTCAAGAGACGAAAAAGACACAGAAGAAAGCATTTCGAGAATCAAGAAGCTTGTGTGATGAGAGGGGTGTATTACAAAAACATGAAATGGCAAGCTGCCATTAAAGTTGAGAAGAAACAGATCCATTTAGGCACAGTCAGCTCTCAAGAAGAAGCTGCTCGCTTGTATGACAGGTAATCATTGATTCTAGGATCACAAATAGTAACACCTGTTAAGGGCAATTTTGTCATTTTTGAATTCGGGTCCATATAGGGCTGCTTTCATGTGTGGGAGGGAACCGAACTTTGAGCTCACTGTTGAAGAAAAGGATGAACTGAGTCAACTCAGTTGGGACGACTTCTTGGCAAGGACTCGCTCTGCAATCAACAGCAAGAGTAAATTATATATATATTTTTTTGTATTTATTATTTATGATGCAGAAAATGAGCATATTTTTTTTAAGGTATTTTTTCAATGATTTTATCAGAAAGCCAAAGAAGGGTGAGTTCAAGGATGAAGTTTGAGAATCGGCAACAGAACAACAGTGACTCAGAAGCAGAAGCAATGGAAGGAGGAAATGGTTTCTCGGGTTCTGATGATGCAGATGCATCAGTAGCTTGATGATTTCTTTTATATTTATTCTTTAATTATTATTATTCTTTATCTGGTGGAAATGATGTTGGAATGTAAAAATTCATAACATTGTTTGAAGTGGGAAAATTCTCGCTCATTTATTTGTATATAGAGGGAGTGTATTGTTACTTGTTATGATGGTGGTATGAATATTGATGTTTCTTTTATTTTGGTGACCCATAAACATAAACTGATTATCTAAGTAATATGATTTTAAGATGTAATAACAAGTTTTAGTTATCGGGTAGTTATAATTGTATTGAAGATTATATGATTATATATATAAGGGTCAGAATTGGATTTAAAATAAAGGCAAGGGTCAGATAATAATTTTTGAATAATAGTTCTAATATTAATTGTAGCAAAATTGATGTTTCTTTTGATTCGGAAAGGCAGGTTACATCCCAGTGGCATAGTTTTTATTTGGATTACTGAAAGACAATATCAGAATGGGGGAAAAATCTTTGTAAAGAAAGATTACATTTTAGGGGTGTTTCCAAGTGCTTTTTGAATTTTAAAGGCCTTTTTAGACAAAATTGCTTATTGAATTAGAGCGTGTTTGAGATTATTTTTTAAAGTGGTTTTTTTGGACTTTTGGCTTTTTTAAAAAGCTATAAAAGTCTAAAAAAGTGTTTGACAATTCTGTTTTTTGGAATGATTTATTGCCAAGAAAAAAAAATTGTTTTAGAAGCCAATAATTTATGATTTTGGGTGACTTTTGTTTTTTTTAATATTGGTCTCCTTCAAAAGTTATCCGAACACATTTTAAAAGCTTCTTTTGAAAAAAACTATAAATCAAAAAAATATTTCTATCAAATTTTTTAGATTAAAAAGCAATCCTAAACACCTCCTAATAATGGTTGTAAAAAAAATTTAAAAAATGTTTGGATTAACTTTTTACGGTGAAAAAATCAATAACTCAATAAGTTAAAAAATATATTTGGTTTAAAAACTTATTTTTGAATTATTTTGACTAAAAAGTCGTAAAAAGTTTCAAAAACCAAAGTTTTACATACTTTTCGAAAACAGTTTTTTTAAATTAAAAGAAAAATAAGAAATTAAATATATACTTATACTTTTTGTTTCTATAAATCTTCTATCCAATTAAATGATTACATGTGTAATATTTAATGTTCATTTAATAATATTATAATATATTAATGTGATACATGTAATCGGTTAAATAGATAGAAGGATCGGTAAGAATAATAAAAGATAAAAATATATTTAATTTGTTATAAACTCTTTTGATAAGTATTTTTAAGTTTATCAAACATTTTTTTTTACGTATTTTCAAAAAGCCAATAAATACCCCCTTAGTTCTTTACGAAGCAACTTCATACGATCATCGTCTTTCATATGAGACTTTGCAGATCGGGTACAACAACTACCGCATATCGGAAAAGAAGATGGTTACCATTTCCATGCTCCCACTACACCACAAACACCATGGACACTACAAGAATCAAAACAGGCTTCCACCCAAACACATCACGCTCCAACTTCCAACTCAAAGATCTTGTGGCCAATGGCCAACTAGCCCAAGCACACCAACTGTTCGATCAAATGCGCCATAGAAACACTCACTCATTTTACACTCTGATTTCTGCCTATGTCAACTCAGGCAATCTTGCTCGTGCAAGAGCCTTGTTTGATGACATGCCTGTTAGAACCGAGGTGTCATGGACGATATTAATTGGTGGCTATTCAAAGCACAATCAACCTGTGGGCGCCTTCAAGCTGTATGCTGAAATGTGCAGATGGGGAACACCTCCCGACGATGTGACCTTTACAACGCTCTTCTCTTGTTGCAACGAGACCCTGATGACAAAAACAATAACTCAAGTGCATTCCCATGTTATCAAACTGGGGTTTAATTACACCCTTAAGGTTTGCAACAGTTTACTTGATGCTTACTGCAAAACTGACACCCTTGAGTTGGCTAATCAAGTTTTCACAGAGATGCTGACAAGGGATTCCGTGACATTCAATGCAATGATTACCGGATACTCAAATAAAGGCTTGAACAACCAAGCGATAAACCTCTTCATAGAAATGCAAAATTCGGGTGTGATCCCATCTGAGTATACTTTTGCAGCAGTTATATGTGCCACCATGGGTCTAAACGATGTTCCTTTAGGGCTTCAATTTCATACTCTTGTAATCAAATCCAACTTTATTTGGAACATATTTGTGTCAAATTCCTTTCTTGACTTCTACTCGAAACATGATTCTATAGACAATGCGAAACAACTGTTCGATGAAATGACTTTGTTGGATTGTGTTTCTTACAATGTGATCATCACTGGATTTGCATGGGCTGGAAGATTGAAGGAATCACTTAATCTCTTCCATGAATTACAGTTGACTAGCTTTGACCGGAAACAGTTCCCTTTTGCAACAATGCTAAGCCTAGCAGCAAATGAAACTAATCTCAAAATGGGGAGACAAATCCATGCTCAGATTTTAGTGACAGAGGCCAATTCGGATATCCAAGTCAGCAATGCATTGGTCGACATGTATGCAAGATGTAACAAATTTGAAGAAGCTAACGTCATCTTTTCATCCCTCCTCAACAAAAACTCAGTTCCATGGACTGCTATAATCTCAGCATATGTTCAGAAAGGATTCTACAACGAAGCTCTTGATATTTTCAAACAGATGCGTGAATCCCATGTCTATGGCGACCAAGCAACTTTCGCAAGCACGTTAAGAGCTTCTTCAAACCTAACGTCTCTTTCACTAGGTAAACAATTACACTCTTGTATGATCACATCCGGTTGCATCTCAAATGTCTTCTGTGGTAGCTCTCTCCTTGACATGTATGCAAAATGCGGACACATAAAAGACGCAATCCAAGTGTTCGACGAAATGCCACTTAGAAATATAGTCTCATGGAACACCATGCTAACAGCCTACGCACAAATCGGGGATGGTGAAGCCACAATACAAACCTTTAACAAGTTGGTCAACTCCGGGGTCAAACCCGATTCGGTTAGCTTCCTCGAGGTTCTAACCGGTTGTAGTCATAGTGGGCTTGTTGATGAAGGTCTTTCTTATTTCAAATCCATGACTCAAATTGTTGTGAAAAGAGAACACTACGCATCGATAGTTGATTTGTTGTGTAGATGTGGACGATTTCATGAAGCCGAGAAAATAATGGACGAAATGCCGTTTGACCCAGATGAAATCATGTTGACTTCGGTGTTGAGAGCGTGTAGGATTTACAAAAATCAAGATTTTGCTAAAAGGATGGCGGATGCTTTATTCAACATGGAGGTTTTAAGAGATGCGGGTGCGTATATCACCATGTCTAGTATATATGCAGAAGCGGGTCAATGGGAAGATGTTAGCAAAGTGAAAAGGGAAATGAAGAATCGCGGGGTTAAGAAGTTACCCGCGTATAGTTGGGTTGAAGTTAACCATGAAGTTCATGTTTTTAGTGCAAATGACCGAATTCACCCTCGAATTGGTGAAATTTGGGAGAAGATTGATGTTTTAGGGAGGAAGATGGAAGAGGAAGGGTATAAGGCGGATACGAGTGTGATTGTTCAAAATGTGAATGAGGATGTTAAGTTGGAATCTTTGAAGTATCATAGTGAGAGGCTTGCGATTGCGTTTGCGCTTATTAGTACACCCGAAGGGTCGCGTATTGTGGTGATGAAGAATTTGAGAGCTTGTGTGGATTGTCATAGTGCAATTAAGGTTATTTCTAAAATTGTTGGGAGGGATATTGTGGTGAGGGATTCGAGTAGGTTTCATCATTTTAAAGATGGATGTTGCTCATGTGGGGATTATTGGTGATTTTATTGGTTAATAAGATATAGCAATTTAGTTTTTGATGTTCTTATTCTATCGTTATACATATATTTCTTCTTGTTAATTGTTATACCGTTGTCCTTTGAAAAATCTATCATTTTATGGGTATCATCATTACTTCGATAAAATGATGGATCTTCTTTAGACATGTCTAACTTATGTAAACAAAAATTATGATATTTTGTGAGCATGTTTGATTTATGAAAGTAGTGATCTTTTGTACAGATATTTGATTTACTGTATTTTGCTTTTAATTTGAATAAATTCGATAGTAAAATAAGAAATAAGTGTCTCATAAAAAAAGTTTAACAAAACATTGAAAGAATAATATTTTCGCCACCTCAGCAATGCATTACATCTGGATTTCCAATTTGGACAATCATATTGCATAATTAAAAATTATAATAATGTAATAAGACTAAATGAAAGCACAATACATTGATAATTCTTACATTTATCCTAGTAACAGAGTTCAATTTAGACAAAGCCAGGTTCAGCTAATTGCCTAATTTCCACTTTTTTTATTTATTTATTTATTTTTTTACATTTTGATTCCTAGAATCCTAGTCCGGTTCAATTACAACGACTATATGACATAGGTTAATGTTATCATGATTAAAAAGATATTTGTTTTTCTATTCAAAAACCATGTTTTTTTTAATGCTATTGAGAATGTAACCAACTAAAAATTTATCTTCGTAAGATATCATTATTAAAAAAATAAAGAGTGTTAACCATTTACAATACTTTATTAAATGCTAATTTCTTATAAAAAGGAAAAAGAAAAATGATTGTTGCTTGAGTTGAGCCGGCCCACTTTACACTAGCAATATCGTGGGCTAGGATTTAACGAATTGAACCGGCCCACTTTACTTTCCACTTGTACGATTATTAAACCGGTTTACTGCTTTAGTAGACCGATTCGAGCATGAAACCCGAAGCACCTTTTGATCGATATTGAGATTTGAGAGTCGAGTATGCTCAGAAATGGAATCGGCCGATGAAATTAAAACCCTAGAAGAAGACGGTATTAATTGGAGAAGTCGCATACTGTATCCTACTCTCATCGGAGGTTTTTCTCTAAGTTTATTTGCTTTATTTCCATTTTTTTTGTAGAATATGAGCAGCAAATGATCGACACAAAGGTTTTAGATGTATTTGATTATTTATATTTTATATGATAATGTTTTCATAGTGTTTTTCCGATGCCGAAACTAGGTACGAGGTATCATAATAGTGAATTTCATTTTGCATTTACAGTTCTTAGAGTTGGCTCTTCGTCATTCAACTTCTAGTTTCAAAATTTGAGATAGGGTTTTGATCAAACTGGCGACGAGAAACTGTTCCATATCATGTATTCATGCCGTGTCACTGTTAATGCTCATCGTTTTTTACTGTATTTATACCATGAATTCATAGAAAGTTCCCAGTTTATGTATCGAATTTATGCGTCTTTGGAGTTCATTTACTTGAAAATTTTGTATTATTGGTCCAATTCTAGTTCTAATCCATGATAGAATAACAACATCAAAAAGTACAGTCTGTAACTGTGCTGTAAATATTTGTTTGTTGATTAGGGATCGTTGGAGGAGGAATTGGAGCAGTATCAAAACATCGAAAGGTTCACGGCCTTGCAAACATGTCTGCAACTTATGCCACTAATCTTGCCATAGTCACCGGTTGCTATTGTGGTAAACCATCACTCACTATTCACTCCTCCTTTTTCTATTTATTTCTATATCAACACCTCAAACCACTTCAAGTATCAACTATTGAGTAAACCACTAAACTGTATACATCATGATCATAGCTTATAGTCATAGACACTTATGATCTTGAATGATGACAGGTGGTCGGGAGATTGTAAAAGCTAGCCGACATTCAGGGCCTGATGATCTCCTTGACTCAGCCATTGCTGGATTTGGTACTGGTGCTATTCTCGGGAGATTGCAAGGTTAGTAAAAGACATGAATGCCCTTCTCATTCTCACAATTGAAAATACCAAAACTAACAGAAGATCTTGTGAAACTATTGATGGCAGGTGGGGTTAGGGGTGCGATTCGTTACTCGATTGGGATTGCGATTGTGGGAACTGGGGTTGATTATGCAGGTATCAAGTTAAGGCCTGTTTTGAAGGAGATGTATGAATCAGTAGTAGGTGGTGAGAAGAAAGACAGCTGGTTGAGATGGCCAGAATGGCTGCCAATCCAAGTTCTTGATGAGGAAGCTATTGCTGCAAAGCAGGCTCGAGAGGAGCAGTTGCGGGCCCGGATCCGAGATCTCACAAAAGAAGAGTCAGAAGGACAGTAGGTTTTGGTGGTTATTGGAGATATATTTATTGATTTTCATAATACTTGTGTACTTTTGGTTAAGGTTTTGTTACCATGTTCTATAGGATTAGAGATTTTTCATTGGTATTCGAGGTAAGGATATAACCATTTTTGGTTTAAAGTTTAAAACACGAGTTTGTTGTTATATTCAGGCAAGCTACTTCAATGGTTGTGGTTTTATGTATTTTAGCCTTATGGTTTTTTTTGGTGACTACAAAATAGTTTAGTGGTTAAATCGATAAAATATTGAAGGTGTGTATTGTTTTTTATTTTTATTTTTGTATTTTCTCACTTATCAATCTCATAGGATCTTATTTTTTCAATTGCATGTGATTTACGAAGCAAACAATGTTTCAACATCATCAATAGGGTTTTTGACATTGTAGCACAAGAAAGTTTAACGAATTTACACATTTAGTCACTCAAGTATTTTTTATGCACAATAGATCCTTTACGTTGCATTTCACATGTTAATTAGGTGATTGAACCTAAAATTAGCCGGTTACCAAGTTAACCAGGTTTAGTTGGCATAGTGATGTGGCAATAAGTAGTCCACTTCATATAGATATTGATATTCTAATTCCTTTTATTTTCTTTACAATTGAAAAAACAAAAAAGCCCTAGATTGTTCTGCCTCAATCACATGCATGTGGTTCTTCTCCTTCGCACATCATTATTCTTTTCTTATGAAACCTAAAAAACCATGGATTCCACCTCCTTCTCATGTTGTTCTAATGAACCTTAAAAATCATGGCTTCCACGTGGATGTTACTCATGATAAAAACGATTAATTAAGAGGGTAAAAATCAGTTATAGAATTCCACATGAAAAACACAATCAAACAAAAATAATCGAAATAAATGTATGTTTTGACATGTTTTCGCATACAATCCTTCCTAGTTTTTTTACCACATGTCTCCTTCATTTTGCCACATGATTTTTTTTGTTTTGTTTTTTTTTTTTAATTTTTTAATTTTCCACTTGTCATTTTTTGAGGTTTTTCATTCTTACATTAAATTTTCAGAATTTACAGTTATATACGGAAGGTTCTTATTTTATTTATGTAATGTTATCATTTTATTAATTTGAGAATAAATTCATATAAATGTTACAAACTCATTGATTTATTTTATTTTTTCAATTACTTTATAAAATGTTTAATATTTACATATTGATATTAAGCTTTTTATCTTTAATAAAGCTGTGTAATACACGAATCTCATATCTAATCAATAAATATAAAGGATATGTATGTCATATCTTATTTTTAGTTGGTTATTTCTCTTAAAAAATTACAATTTGAATTTTTAGCTGGTTATCCCTCTTAAAAATTTACAATTTGATTTTCTTTGAAGCATAAATAGGGATGGCAAAAGAAACCGAACCCGATGGTGAAAACTGAAAACCGACATATTAGGGTCGGGTTTGGGGTCGGTTAATTGGGATCGGGATCGGGTTTGGTATGCTTTTAGAAAATTTTTGCGGGTTTGGTTACGGGAACGGTAAACAAAATACCCGTCCCGATTACCCGAAATCAAAACCAAAACCGAAACCCGTTACCTGAAACCGTTAATATATATATATATATATATATATATATATATATATATATATATATATATATATATATATATAAATTTATTTGAGTTATCTTCTTTGTTGTGAACGATTTAAAGATAATTTCTTGAGATAGCTTCGTGTTTATTTGTAATGCTAGTGTTTTGACACTTTTTTATTCATATTACTTAGAGTAATAGTGATATTATGGTTTATGAATGCTAGTGTCTTTATTGTTTTTGTTGCTACTACTAACCACTTATGTATCAGAACAAATATGTATGCTCTTAGTAGTTTTGTAAATTATCAAAATTATTTTGGATATGAATTTATGTTTGCATCACTAAGTCTAATGGTTTGTATTCTCATTTCATCAAAAAAAAATTTAATTTGAATGTTAAACGGGGATCCCCATTACCCCGTTGGGATACCCACAGACCCGATAGTGTTTGGTAAACGGATACCCGTTGGGAATCGAGCCGGTGATGGGATCGATTTTCATATTCGGGGATGGGGGCGGGATTACCAAAACCCGTCCCAAACCCGCCCCGTTGCCATCCCTAAGCATAAATAATAATATAAAGTTTCTTTTTTTTTTTCCTAAATATACAGAATATTTTTCTGTATATGCATGATTATGCTTTTATACGTATATCCCAAAAAATTAATGATTATTATACGATTCACCCTTAATTAATTATTTCCCATATCGGTTATTTTGATTTTTAATTTGAAGGGATTTTCACAGTTTCTCCAGTTTTAGGGCTTTTGCCTAATTCGAGGAGTATATAGTCCGCCAACACTATATTCGTCTCTGAAATCGCAGCTTTGAAATTGTGAAAACGAAAGTTTAGGGCAAACAAAAATGATCATTCCGGTTCGTTGTTTCACCTGCGGCAAGGTAAAACCCTAATACATCACCATCTATTTCCTCTACATGCATAGTGTTTCAAAGTTTCTTACATCTTCTTAGTATTTTCACCAATTTGTGTTTTCAGGTGATTGGAAACAAATGGGACACGTATCTTGATCTTCTCCAATCCGATTACACGGAAGGGTGAGTCATTTTATGTATTTTTTAGCTTCGTTCATGAATAAACAATTTAAAAGAAACCGAAAAAGCTAGGGTTTACAGTTTTTTTCGTACAGCAGATGGTTTAGTGTTTGTCGACTATTATTGCGTGTTATTAAATTCCATTGCTTTTTCTTGTTGCATCAAAGATGATGAACGTACGTATTAGTACATTTTTAACGCTTCCTTTGTATATCTTCCTCTTCATTGTTATTTCTTTTCTTGTTGCATCAATGGAACTTCATAATATCTTGACCTTTGGTATAGATTGTTATACATAATATGTTTACATATTGGCCAGTGGGTGAGGAAATTATAGTGTTTTTTTTTTTTTTGTGACTTTGGCTGTTCTTCCTTCTTCGTTCTTTAATTGCCATTTTTACCACTTGAGCTGTGCAGAGATGCTCTTGATGCATTGGGGCTTGTTCGTTACTGTTGCAGAAGAATGCTGATGACTCATGTTGATCTCATCGAGAAGCTTCTGAACTATAATAGTAATCTATCTTTTTCCATCCCCATCTCTCTCTAAAATCAATACACACTCACACATAATGTCTAAAAGTATTGAGAAAATGACTAGATACTTGGGGAAATGGAAGGAAAGGACACATTTATTAAAAGTTAGAACTTCATGGGCAAACCTCTTTTTCCTAACTTTCTCTATTAAGTCGTTCTTTATGTATCAAGTTAAAAAGAAACACCCATATGTAGCTTACTGGGTTAAGTCATGTCTCATTTAAGCCAATGTCAAAACGAAATAGCACCATAGACTTTCTACTTTTTAACAATCAAAGTGGTTTTTTGTTGCAGCATTGGAGAAATCTGATACCAGTTGAGAGGCTTGGCTTTATCAGAGAATGTTAATTGATGGAGTAAACAAGTGTGTACTTGTTGGTAAAAATGTTGGTGTTTCTTTCTAGAAGTATTGTAGAATCTTATTTTAAACTAATAGGCTAATGAAAAAGCAAATCTCAATTTTCTGCACACTTTCTGTGTTGATTATAACTTTGTGTATGTATGTCTACATACATACATACATACATGCATCCATCATATATGTATGTTTGATTTGTGTATGTTGCTTATAATGAATATGAATGTGTACTCTGCAATTCATGGGTGATGCCAAAAATTGGTCCTGCCTTCAATAATCGAGGTTGAGGTTATGAAGGTTTCTTTTTTGTACAATTATTGACATTGGCTTTTGTGGGTGGGTCCCTTGGTCACGTGACATGTTTGACTTGTCTTGTGATAATGATATTCTCTTCATTTTGGTAAATATGAACTGAGAATTTGCCTTCACGTTTACAATTTGAAGGTTGAAGGAGTTACATGCTTGATTTGCAGGAATGGAATTCAATTCCATTCCAGCAAAACCAATCATAAAGTGGAACTTGGATTCCGATGGAATTGGTTCTGTTTGCCTTTAGAGTTTTACTTTAATTTACGTAAAACAACAGGTTAGATAACAAGTTGATAATTTTTTTATTATGTTAGTTGGAGTGTAAATTACTCTTCAACGTATTAAACATCATTTAAAAAATCTATATCCCTACATGTCTAATTTATTTTAATAAAATGATTAAGAAAATTTATGTGTTTTAAAAATATATTTTGGTTGACTTTCAACCTAGTTGATCAAATTCTGTCAATTAAAAGATTAATTTCATAATCAGAATCAACTCATATAGTTAAATAAGTTCAAATTATTGCTGTCATTAATTTGTAGGATATCGTTTGAAAATGTTGTATATTTATATTTTCACGCTTACATTTTAGCCTAATTAAAAAAAGACACGATCAACAAGCGTTTATCGATGAGAATTCACGAATTAATGTTTAATATTGTGATTATTTAAAGTGTAGCGTAAAAAGGGAAGGCAACATGGGTTGCTTTTGAGTTTAATATTGCAATATCTAAAAATGCGTTGTAAATTAATTTAAAATTACTTTCCAGTAATGATCACTCTTTATAAGCCTGTAATTACATGTAGAATTTGTATAGATACCTGACTTGTTAGTTGTATAATTAGACACAAAATCAGTGTTTTTGTCCCTTCAGAAAAGATGTTGACAAGTACTTGATTTTTTCAACAGTTATTTTGAATAAATTTAGATATTAAAATTTTAATTTATAAAACTAAATTTGGTATAATTTTTTGATAAAAAAATTATAGGTACGAAGGAATTCATTATGGTAAACGAAATAAGCAATTGACATTAAGGGGTATTTAGGATTTCTTATATAAAGTGCTCTGGTACCTTATATAAAACACCTTATATATCGGCTTTTTCCATGTGCTTGTTTTTTTGCCATTTGATATCTCTTTGATTTAGTGTCAAGAAGAAAAAAAAAATCATACTAACTTGGAGAACAATTTATATATTCATTTTGTTCATATTTAGATTACTTTGATTTTATAAATGATTGACCAATAAACTTGTTAAAGTTTTCAAATGTTGCTAACAAGTTTTAAAATGTTGCTATTGTGACCGACTATCTTATATTATAACTTACTTGACATTTAGGTGATAAATTAAAACGAAATAGTAATTTATGGGGGTAATTATCTACTTGTTTGTTCATATTTAGGCAAATATATATATATATATATATATATATATATATATATATATATATATATATATATACACACACACATGATTGACCATCAAACCTGTTAGAAGTGTTCAAATGTTATCGTTTGTAATTAATATACATTTTTTTATAATTAAATAACTTTGTAATATATCTTATAACTTACTTTTAAATTTACATTTACTATATTTTTTTTATATACTGTTATGAATAAATTTGATTGTGTTGAATCTTCCTATAGAAAAAGTAGCTGCGAATTTGCTATGGAATAAATAGCATAAAATTTGTTACGGAAAAATAGCTATGTAACTTGCTACAGAAATATAGCTATGAAATTTGTGATGGAAAATTGGTTACAGAATTTGCTATGAAAATTGCTATAGAAACAACTCTTTATAGATTAAGAACATTTTTAATTAAAATTGCAAGTCCAAAAACTATCAAAAAAATCTCAAACAAAATAAAACATTGTTGAAAAGTAATATGATTTTAATCACAATCGATAGAATGACATTTATTCATCCAATAAGTCTCTAAGCTATTTCAAACCTGATTAATGACATTTTTTTTATGTTCATGTGACTATCTTTTCTTCTAAATCTGCATCATGATATATGTTTCTCACATGAGTCTATGTCAAAATAATACTTCTGAATAATAAACTTAGTAAGTCATAAAAGGTTTAGGCATCTTAAAAGCATATATAAAAGAACATTGAAATATATTAAATATAACCTCTTTCCATCAAAGTATAGAATTTTTTTATATTATAACAATCTTTATAGAGAAAAATTGCATATATACAAGTATGTAGTCTCTTCACCTTTGTACGAGCATAAATAAATGAAAGAGGATCATGATTTATGCAACGTTGTATATATCTTCAAACTCTTTTATCTCAAAATTGTTATACTTGTAAAACACACGAATACTACATATTGTAACAAACAATAAATGATATAGATCGCCACAAAGCAAATTGTGGTTATTGAAATATTATATGAAATGAAAGAAAAATGAGTACAAAATAAGCAAATGGATAATTTTTTTTTGCTATTATTAGATAATTCATTATTGATGATAACTGGTTTATCAAAAAAAAAAAAAACCCATTGTTCATCATACATGACATTGAACACTTCTAAACGTTCGATAATCATATAAAAAAATAATTGTTTGAATGTGAACAAAACAAATAGATAATTACCATGATAAGTAAATTTTTTGTTTTAATTTGTCATATAGATGCCACATATGTATCAAATAATTTTACAACCTACGATAACATATCACAATAGTAATATTTGAATTCTTTTAACAAGTTGGTTCAATCTTGTAAAAAAAATAAGACTAAATATGAATAAAATAAACAAATAATTACCCTTCTAAATTATATTTTCTTAAAACAAAGACTAAATCTGTCAAATTTAATAGAATTTAATTGGTAGGGCAGGTTCTTTTTATATTATGAAACATGCATGATGCATTAAGTTCTCTTCGTATAAGTACTGACATGTATTGAACACGAATGTTATGCAAGGCATCGTTTCTGAACAATTTTTCTAGTATTTTCTTTATCATTATTGATATCATTTTTGATGAATGATATTTTTTTTTTTAATATTAATGATATTTGAGCTTATATATTCTATCAAACAATAATTATTTTTAAAGAATCTAAATAGAAATCAGAGTAGCAGTATTTTTTTAAATTTTATTTGATATTAAATTTCTGTCAAATTTTTTTATTATAAATGATGAAAAAAACTGTTATTAAAAAAACAAAAAATTCAATAATATGTAACACGTCTTCCATTTTATTCGTATAAACAGCATTTGTCAAATACGAAAAACTACTTTTCATTTTTTTACGTTTTAATATCCAATAAACTTATATTTTTTTTCCTAAAAATATATTTCGACACCACATGAGTTAAATATCTAATAAAATTTATCCTAGTCCTGAAGGTATATATATATATATATATATATATATATATATATTATATATATATATATATATATATATATATATATATATATATATATATATATATATATATATTATATATATATATATATATATATATATATATATATATAGGAAGTGAAATTAAATGCAACTGGTTGTGCTGGTATTGCAAATCTGCACATGGGGTGATGGAGCATCATGGTGGCATTGAAGTTGTGAGGCTTATTGCCATTTTTAGTGGAAAAACATAAAGGGGTTGTTAAGATTCTATATTTTTTTAGATGTTTCGATGAAAAAAGGTTTTAATAATTTCTTTATATTATTATATTTATAATTTATAATCATATTAATAAAACACAGTTTATTTGGAACTGGCCAAACTAAATATTACTCTTTTATGATCTTGAGCAAAAAACGATTATTATCAGGAACTAAATCAAACACAACCAGTTAGATTTTAGTCTTGATTTTATGACTCACTTTTGCTTTACTTTTTGGAAAAAAATAAAAAATAAAAACCGTTATAATTAATAATTCATCATTTCTCCTTAAATTAGCTGGTTGAACGTTGAAACTTTGTGCAGCATTCAATTCCCTTCTAAGAATTTCATGAGCTTCTCGTCCCCTTCCTTCATCCCCCATAGCCACCATTAACAACCCGTAAGAAGCTCTTTTCAACTAGCTTACACAAAACGTCATAGCCAAAATCTCCACATTTACTCATTCCTTGTCACACCCAAAATGTTTTCCCTACATTCCAGCTTCTGAAGGTCAACAGTTAAGGATTCAAAGCAGCAATGAGGGTTTTAGGGGAGTCATGGTGTTTTTGTAACGGTGGCGGCAAGTCGGAGAGAACAAAAGCCTCCATTTTCTCCGGCAAAGGTCCTGCTATGGCTCGAATTTCCACCGACGGATTGGTTTCCGGTACCGGATTCCTTATCCACCGGAACCTTCTCCTTACAACACACGCCATCCTTCCGTCGGTAGCTGCCGCCGAGGCCGCCGAGATCCGGCTTCAAAACGGTGTCGGCGCTTCCCTTTTCCCTCACAGGTATATATGCAGCTAATGCCTCAAATTGCTCTGATGTTAATATGCGATGTATATGTGGGTTGTGTACTATCTGAATTCGAAATTGGCGATGTAGATCACCAGATCGAATGTAGTTCGTAATTAATAATCCTAATTAGCTCAATTTTGATAGAACTAGATTCATTCCCCCTCAATTTTTCTAACACCGGTATCATTATAACTTATACTTTGCTCACACGCCATCAAATCGAATAACAGGTTTTACATAACTAGCTCTGTTCTGGATCTAACAATAGTGGGCCTAGACTCCATGGATGGAGACTCAAATGCACCATATCAGCAACCTCACTACCTGAAAACCTGTTGTAAATCAGGTCTAAACCTGGGTAACATAGTTTATATTCTAGGCTACACCGATAAAAACGAGCTAACTGTTGGTGAAGCAAAGGTGGTGATAGCAACCGACAATCTCATAAAGGTCTGCACCGATGGAGTCACATGGAGCCCCGGTTCGGCCGGGTTCGACCCACAAGGTAACCTCTCTTTCATGGTTTGTGACCCAATGAAGCTAGCCACCTCCCCAAACACAAAATCCTCTTCCACAACCACCACCTCATCATCTTCTTCATCATGGAAAAAAGATCTCCCATTGCAATTTGGCATCCCGATTCCTGTAATCTGTGATTGGTTAAACCAAAATTGGGAAGGCAACCTTGATGATTTGGTAAACAAACCAAAATTACCCCTCATTCGATTAATGTCCACAGGTCAAAGAAGTGAACAATCATGTACTTCCTTCACTATGCGACAAGTTTTTAAAACAATCGATCCTCACCAACCCGAATACATAACCTCAAAATCAGAAGACCAACCGGACCCAGACCCGGACCCCAGTTCCAGTTCTTCCATTGGTGAAACCCCGACCCGTGATCAAGGAATCCGGACACCCGAGATATACGAGTCGCCAAAATTGATCTCAGGTCCTTTCGGAAATTACCAAAATACCCCTCAGATTCAGCTTTTGGATATCAACTTCCCTCCTAAGAATAAGACCAATAAGATTGCTAATCCTAATCCTAAACCATCTGGGCCGGTGGTTAAAGAGCAATCAGAAGCGGAGATGGGTTCGGTGACCGGGCCCAGGAGTGAGGTGTCGGTGTCAGAGGGGCAAAATGGGTATATCAGTGAAGGGGAAACGACGATGTATTCGGCTGAAACAGCTGAGAGCCGTAACTATCCGAGTCCTAAAGAAGAAGGGCGTTTTGGTCAGAAAGGAGTTGGGATTGGGAGGAGCCAAAGCTGTGTAAACTACAACCGAAAATGGGTGCCGGTTCAGGGGAACACGGTGGCTCGTGGGAGGTCGCTTGAAAAGCAGAGAAGCTATATGCAGCAGGGTAGAAAGGTCTTTTCACAAGGGGCAACCTCTCATAGGAGTAATGACTATTATAGCCCTACTGTGTCTTCGATTATGAAGAAACGGAACAATGAGCAGTGGCCTAATGCTAATAGGTCTCGAAGTAGGCCCAGTGCGGTTCATTCTTCACCAAAATGGGCGTTTTAATGTCGTTTTGAGGTAATAAAAACTTTTTTTTTTTTTGAAAAAAAATAATATCTTTGGTCTCATTTTTATATATTGTAACTAGTTTCTAAATGTGCAGTTTGAGATAAAGATTTAATAAATCTAATTTTTTGGGATATGTTCTTGTATTTCCATCTAATCGGTTTAATTGTAAATTTTTTGTGACGAATTTGGAAAGCCAGAATTATATGTTTGTCCTTTGTAAAGATACCTGTTCATAAGGATTTCTTTATTTATTTTGTAATTTGTAATGATACTCGTTCATAAGTCATAAGTTGTGTATTTATTTGCGACTTATTCATTGATCCTTTGAAGTTTTGTAATTATAAATTAGACAAAATTGGTCATTGTGGCTTGCAAAATATCATACTTTGAGGACTTTTATAAAAAACGACATGCCGTTGATCCATGTGGTTTGTGAAATTTCATAAATGGTCATTCTGACGTTAAATCTAACTTTTCAGCTTTTAGATTTTTATGAAATGACTATTTTACCATTGTAGCAAATCTGCAATATACAAAAAACTCATGGGCCATTTGTATAATTTTGTAAATTTAAAATTTTGTTTATATAAAATTGATATATTTATATTAATTTTTCTTATTTGTGAATTGAATCGTTAATATTTTTTAAATTTTATGTAGTTATGGTTCATGTTTTTTTAATTGGATGCTTGATAAATCGTTAGCAATTTTAAGTTTGCATTTTATCATTATAATTATTTTATTTTTTGATTTATATTTTTTTATAATTTTAGTTATTTATTGTTTTTATTTATTTATATTCAAGTAATGAAAAATACAAAAAAATACAAAAAAATACAAAAAAAAAAAAAAAAATCAAACATCAAAACTGCAATATCATAGAGAAATAAGGTTTAATTTGCAAGTTACATATTAAAAAATTTAACTACTTTTTCTATTTTAATAATTATAAATCGCAAACATTAATTATAAGATACTCTAATATATACATATATTTTACACTTTTTGAAAAATGTTAAAAAAAAATTATCAAATTGATGAAAAATAAATTTAAAAGACCAAAAAATTTAAAAATAACACGAAAAAAAAAAAAAAACCAAAAAAAAAATGTATGTATATATTAGAGTATATAACAATTTTGGTGTTTGAGGTTTTTTTTTGGTTTTCTATTTTTCATTACTTGAATCAAAATAAATAAAAACAATAAGTAACCAAAATTATATATTAAAAAAAACAAAGATGAAATAATGATAATGATAAATGCAAACTTAAAATTGCTAACCATAATAACGATGAAACATCCAAGTAAAAAACATGAACCATAACGACGTAAAATTAAAAAAAATATTAACGGTTCAATTCACAAATAAGAAAATTTAACGATAAAACAGTTTCAACGTTGTTAATTGAATTTAAGTTTATTTACTTGATTCAAAATAAATAAAACATCCGAAAAACCATAAATAATTAAAATTATAAAAGACAAAATTGCAAAAATGGTCCCTGTGGTATGCAAATTTTTGGGGTTTTAGTCCAAACAGTGACTTTTTTGGTTTCGTAGTCCTTTTGGAGTGGTTTGTATGTGAAAATGGTCCCTCCGAAAATTGAAATGACTATAATACCCTTGGGGTATTTATTTTTCATTTTTCTTTCATTATTCTTAAAATTTAATATTTATTTATTTATTTTAACAATTAAAAAAATAAAAAAGGTCCCACCTCTCTCTCTCTCTCTCTCTCTCTCTCTCTCTCGAGTTTCAATACCCAAAGATACAACCCACCATCATCTTCTTCATGACCTTCGTCTTTTTCAAACCCTAACTCGTCACCACCATCTCTCCTTCTAGTCACCAAAATACACTACCAACACCATGATCAGAATTCAAGACTTGTTCATGTTGCAGATTCGGTGAGTTCCCAGTTTACCCACCTAGATCGTATAAGGATATGGTGGTGTCGGAGATCTACAGTATCAATTAGCATTTACTCTCGTTCCCTCTCTTCCATTTTTGGGACACTTTTACAACAATCTTCAAATCTAAGTTTTACAATACAATAAGCAGTAGTGCTTTATGGAATTGCTTTATGAAGTTCTGGGGTATTATATGCTTTCTGAAGTTTCTGGGTTTTCTCAAATCTTAGGAATAGAACTACTTTATAAGACTTGCGGGAAAACAAATACAGATAGAAATGGGTTTCAAGTAAGAAGATATTCAACATTCTCGTCTTTAGAAAGAAGATATTCAACATTCTCGTCTTTGGAAATGTGTGTCAGATGTATGTATTTTGTGGCAGGACAACACCCAGATCGTGACCTCTAATCTCCCGCACCCTCTTTCGTATCTTTCTCCCTTTGAATCTGCTACCTTCAGTAGCCTCTGTTTTCACTGTCTCACAATATTCCTTCTCCCCCAACACAAACAGATTGACCACCACAACCAAGAAACACCTTAACACCTCCCTCTGCAAGGACATCACCCATCAACACAAACAGAACCCAGTTTTTGATGACTAAGAAGATCACGACTCAGACTCTTCCCCCCTCCCCCTTCATACACTCCGTCTGAAAACAAAATTCAGACTCGCAGTTGAACACGAGCGTATGAAAACCAAACCCAAGGGAAACTTCAGCGATCGATGTTTGTAAATGGTTGTTGGGGGGATAAAGCTCGATTGAGCATATAGGATACACAAGTGAATTCATTCTGAAAACCCTAAAGTCTCTCATCTTTGATTTCAAATCAAAACCACAAACCCTTTCTTACCCGATAATTCCTATATGAAAATCCTAGGGCTCTTTTGCACTGTCATGACCCAGATTGAAAGCGAATCAACACTCTGTTCTTGGTATAAACAATGGGGTATTTCAAGTTTCCAACTGCTTCATCCCTTGCTGATATAGGTGTTCATATGTCCTCATTGGTGTGTGGTTCTTGTATCTCGGGATTGGATTGTGCTGACCACATACTAAACAATTTCCCCTTTGCTATATCAGTTAGAGAGAAGATATTTTTCATGGTGCAATATGGATGTTTTTCACCAAGAAGATATACACGAAATAAAATGAAAAGAAGTGTGAGCTGTTGGACTTGTGATTGAACGAGAGAGAGAGAGAGAGAGAGAGAGAGAGGTGGAACCTTTTTTATTTTTTTAATTGTTAAAATAAATAAATAAATATTAAATTTTAAGAATAATGAAAGAAAAATGAAAAATAAATATCCCAAGGGTATTATAGTCATTTCAATTTTCGGAGGGACCATTTTCACATACAAACCACTCCAAAAGGACTACGAAACCAAAAAAGTCACTGTTTGGACTAAAACCCCAAAAATTTGCATACCACAGGGACCATTTTTGCAATTTTGTCATTATAAAACAACTGGTCGAAAAGGTAAAAAAAATGGCTCTAAAGGTTTGTTGTATATTGCAGATTTTGTATAAGGGTAACATAGTTATTTCATAAAAATATAACAGTTGGAAAGTTAGTTTTAACTTTAGAATAACCATTCATGGAATTTTACTAACCACAGGGACTAATGAAATGATATTTTCCAAAGAAGTTCTCAAAGTATGATATTTTGCAAACAATAGGGACAAATTATGAAATTTTGTCTGTAAACTAAAAAAAATACAATCTTTCCCACCTTGCATCAGACTCGATTTAAATACTAATCGACGGACAACCCTATTGCTGCAAGCTTTAAACAAAACTAGCAATGGAAGATAAACGAAAGACTTCAAATGGCTTCAATATCTATTTATATGGAAAAAAAATTTAGTATAGCAACTTTTATTAATGGGTCCTGATTTTTCTACCAAATGATTTTATCTTTCCACTTAAAAAAATAATATATTGACATTTATACCCTTAATTTTAATTTATAAATATTTAAAAGAGAGAAATATCTTGTTGTTTTCAAAGACTTACCACGAAACCAACATTTTCCTCATTCCTTCAATTCAACAATAAATTAGTACCTCTTCCATGTTTTTAATGGTGGACATGACGTCTACCTTGAGCATTTGCAAACCTCCATTGTAATAAGTGATTGTTCATCCATTTTGAATAATTTTCATTAATATTGTTTGATTTGGATATCAATACTTTACAAAGTCCATTTATCTTCTTTGTCAACATTATCTCCAAAAGTTAGAGAAAAACAATAAAGTAGAAAAGTCAATAAACAAATTACTTCATCAATCGTTTATTGATTCCTAATCTCACATAACATAATACATAAATTATCACCATATAGCACAAGCCATTGAAAAAAAGATTAAAGTTGCTTTCTCTACTTTACTATATTTATGTTTAGAATATTACACATATACCAGTAGAAAACTCAAGGTCATCAGGATCAGAGCAGAAGTTAAGCCCATTAAATGGTTAGTGGTGATTACAACAAGCTTATCACCAACAAAAACATTAACAGATCTAACAAGGGAATCGAAATTGAAAGTGAAAATTTATGCTCCGCTCTCAACATCCCATAACTTGGTTGACCGATCGTCACTCCTGGTCATCAGTCGCCTTGAATCTCCTACACAACTAATACCAATGCTAATGGTTAATTAGTTCAGTTGTTATTATCTACTGATATGCTTCTTCCCACACAACACTTTCTTTGCCTACTGACTTCTAAAGCCTTCTTTTTACCCTTCGAATTAGTAATGCCACTGGAACGAGGACGATGATCAATTGATATAAATCAATAACTAATCGCTTGAGTCTAATCAATTTATTTTAAGAGTAAAGCCAAGCTAACAACTTTCAATTCCAGCTACTGAAAAACCTCAAAAGGATAAAACCCAACACTACCAAAATCGAATTCGAGAAAAAATATACATAATCAAATGCATATAAATCCAAATCAGAAAAAAAAAAATTCTAAGAAGAAGAATATAAGAATGATGTTTCTCTTTAGCCCCTTAATGCAAAATCCTTATCATTTTGGTCCTTAGCTAGTACGCGAGGTGTATTATATGAGCATGCTTAGC